TTTCCCTTCCTCCCCCACAACAAACACTCTGTGAGGTGAGTGGGCTGAGAGACTTCAAAGAAGTGTGACTAGCCCAAGGTCACCCAGCAGCTGCATGTGGAGGAGCGGAGACACGAACCCGGTTCCCCAGATTACGAGACTACCGCTCTTAACCACTATACCACACTGGCTCTGAGACTGAAAGGCGATACGATAGCCATCTTCAAATGACTAAAGGGCTGTCACGTGGAAGATAGAGAAAACTTGTTTCCTCCTGCTCTGGAGGGTAGGACCCAAACTAATGGCTGACTCAACATCAGGAATACTTTCTGACAGTAATAACTGTTTGACAATGGAACATATTCCCATGAAAGGTGGTGGACTATCCTTCATGGAAGGTTTTTTTAAGTAGAAGTTGGATGGTCATCTGTCATGTGTGCAAACACACATTTCTAGTTTGGGCTTTAGATAGCAGAAGGATTTACTAGAGGTAGTAATATAACCAGACATAGAAGCAACTCACTCTACTGCAAAGAAACTCATAATAAATGAGAAAGTATAACAGGAAAATATATTAATTGCCTGTCTCTTGAATGTACTCAAGGTGATATATAATAGAAAACTATGTAGATAAATTGAATTCACCTTGGAATTTAAATGCAGGTCTGAGAGGGACCACACACACAAAAAGAATGTGAACGATCTTTGATCATTTGAAACTGAGATATTTGTTTCTCTTGTTCATAAAAGACATGCTGGAAGTATTAATCACAAATGTTGCTGTTTATGCATTACTTGGCAATGAAACATCTACATATGTAATTTTATTGTACCCAAGTGAGCTTTCAGGCTGCATATAAATGCTTTTTGTACTTCTTCAAACTGCTTGAATAGATGCACTACCAAAAATATATAAATAAACAAGTCCTTACCATTCCACTATTTATTACAAAAAGTGCAAAAATGATGACAATTCTGCTGGTCAAAAGGACATGAGTAAAAGTAATAAATGATTCCATGTTTAGTACTTCATTTTGCAGAAAAAATAATTTTTCATCAACTCCCCCCCCCCCTCAAAAAAAGCTAGAGAGAAATGTTAAACAGTGTTCTGGGTGCATGGATAAATTTTACTTTAAACACTGAAATCATCTAACCCTATTTCTTCCCTTTGTGACACTTTCAGTGTTCCATTTAAATTAAAGGAGATAGTTTTAACTGAAAGTGCAGTGCAAACTATTGCCTTGCAACAACTAGTCCAATTCCAGCCATGCAATCCATCCCAACCATGCTTTGAGCAAACTCCCTCCATATTGGCAGGCAGCTCATGTGATGAAGAATTCACTCACTTTTACTTCTATAACTCTCTGATGCCGTGTGAATGCAGTGTGAAAGCTACAATACCCATTATCCATTGCAACTGCAAGCAAAAACATACAACCCAATACATCTGGAAATACATCTAGAGGGAGCAAATAAAAAGGGGTCATTTGGTTAAAGGGTTATAAAATGAAATCCACTGTCAGGGAATAGTAGTAGTAGTAGTAGTAGTAGTAGTAGTAGTAGTAAAAAATACAGTAGAGTACATCCACTGGGCTTCATACACCCATACCTGCAGTACTATTATGCCAAACATTCTTTATTTTATTTTAGTTATTGCATTTATATCCTGTGTTTATTTCAGTATGGAACCAACCCAAAGCAGTATGCATGTGGTTCTAGGGCCTAGAATTACTAACCATTAAGGCATTATGCAAACCCAGGCATGCTTAGCAAAGTGGTGGTTTCATCTGTCTTCAGACCATACCACAGGACCACAACATACCCTCCAACATTTTCCCAATGAAAATAGGGATGTTCTATTCCCTTCTTCCTCTTCTTCTCCTCCTCCTCCTCCTCCTCCTCCTCCTCCTCCTCCACTCATCTGACTGGGTTGCCCCTGGGCGGCTTCCATAAATACATAATAGAACATTAAACTTTTTTTTTTAATCCCTATACAGGGCTGCCTTCAGATGTCTTCTAAAGGTTGTATATTTACTTAGCTCCTTGGCTCAGGTGGTTGCATAACTCCACACCCTCCAACATTTCTCCAATGAAAATAGGGACGTCCTAAGGAAAAGTGGAACATTCTGGGATCAAATCAGAAACTGTAAATCAGGGACTGTCTCTGGAAAATAGTGACACTTGGAGGGTCTGCAACAGTTAGCAATGAGATCTGCAAGGCAAATTAATGAGAGCGTCTCTTGCCTTCAGGAGAGAAAAAATGGCAGTTGTTTTAGTTGATTAAATTTCACAAAGTCTCCAAAATGTAATTAAATACAAGAAAGTTGGGTATACAAATTAAGATGAGCACTCATGCACATCAGCATTTGCTAATATACAGTAGTTTTACGGATTAATTCATCTGCTGATTTCTCTGTCAACTGAACTGAAACTGTTTAATTAAAATAATACCCATTATCTTTCAGAATTGTTATTTGCATTAAAGAAGCACCATTTTTTATGAAGACCACCCCATCTGTAATAGCAGCTGGGTAATCTTGACTTTTACTTTGTGAGCTAATTCTTCATTTCCTTGATTTACTTTGAATCAATAATGTTGTTGAAAGAAAGTTTTGGGAGGACTGACTTCACCATATTGCCCTGGCTGGTTTCCTTGGCAAGATACAAAACAGACAGGCAGAGAACAAACCTCGTACAACAGAAGGCAGAAGCTGCACAACCTAAAGTCTTCAACTCTTCAATGGATAGGGAACTTATCGCCAGGACTAGAATGTTTCAGCCTGAAATGGCTGTGCCCCACTTAATTGTAAGAGTTTAGTCAAATGTATGAATAATTGACTAAATATGCATATATTTGCATACAAACAAGTTGGTCTAAAGTAAAAAGCCACTCTCTTGCTCTCCTTTTTAGATGCTGTATAAAAAAAGATCCTGTTGGATCAGAGCAAAGTTCATTCTAACCTAGCATTGGAGGGCCATACCTCCACGGCAGAACATCTGTTTTGCATGCAGAAGGTCCCAAGTTCAAGTAGGGCTGGGAGAGACTCCCATAAAAGTGCCTGGCTTAAAACCGTCTATCAAAAACTTCACTCTTGTGGCCTATCCCCACAAAAACCTACTCATTATGGGCCCTACTAAAGCAAACAGTCTAACTGGTCAACGTCTAAAAGATATTGAGCATCAGAACAACCTGGCCACTATAAGGAAATTCTGCCCTTGGTATGTTCACTTTCCACGTCTCCATTTTGATTCTCTGACCCCATATCTGCACAAACTTATTATCCCCAAATACAGACGTGCTTTTACACTTTCAAGACTGGATGTTTTGCCATCTGCAGTACTTGACGGTCAATTCCAAAAGATCCCGCCTGAGAAACGTCTTTGCCCCTGTGGAGATGGTAGCACTGAAACAGTGGCACATGTCCTCCTGTCTTGTACTCTCTACAAAGACCTGAGGAACAAGATCATCACCCCACTCGTACTAACCATCCCAGGGCACTGAACCACTGCCACAATGTCCTTTCTTCTATCAGTTCAAAATGGGCAGATAACAGCAAAGTTTGCTAGGTTCATAACAGGGGCAATCAGAATAAGGGCCACTAACTGACGGCTGATTCAGGACTTTAAATTGTGCTCTTATATCAAACTTCCTTTTCTGCGTATACTGTAATGTTTTACTGTTGCTATGGCCATTGGCTAATGCGAATAAAGTTTTATCTATCTTAAGACTCTATGTCTGAAACCCTGGAGAGCTGCTGCCAGTCAGGGTGGACAATACTGAGAGGGATGGACCAGTGATCTGGCTAGTTCCTGCAGCTTCCTACAGTGGTCAATCAGCTGTCAGGGTCTGGACAACAAGAGGAACGGGAACTGAACTCTCGGTCTGATCAGCTCCTCTCAGAAGAGGAGGAGGAGTGGGAAGTTTCAACCCCTGTGTCTCCAGCAGTTTCAGGAGGAGAGGGAGACAGGGATGGTGTACAGCTGAATGAGAAATTGCCTAGTTATGAGATGGTGGGGAAAGAGGAGGGGAAGAGGAGGGGGAAGCTAGAGAGCAGGCAGCAGAGACCTCCCTGGAGAGTATGGGAGATGCTCCTAGTTCAAAGGCTTGCAGGTCTCTCCACATTCAAGAACAGAGAATGTGGAGGGATGTGCCTTCTGTGATTTCCCGTGGGTTTCCAAGATGTTGTGGGAGATGGAAGAGGAGGGACTCAGAGTACCCAACGTCTCCTATGCGTCCTATGGATCCTTTGTCTTGCAACCAGATGACTGAATAAAAATCCATAAAATACGAATTGTGTGTTCTTCTTGCCTCTGAGGCTGCTGGGGGAGGAGAGGATACCCCACACCTGATATCAGATGACTCTAAAAAGCACTGAAGCATGGCTCAAAGGCCATCATATATCCATCAAGTCTAATTTTGTACTAATGATTGTAAAAAGGTAAAGGTAAAGGGACCCCTGACCATTAGGTCCAGTCGTGGCCGACTCTGGGGTTGCGGCGCTCATCTCGCTTTATTGGCCAAGGGAGCCAGCGTACAGCAGGACTAAGCCACTTCTGGTGAACCAGAGCAGTGCACAGAAACGCCGTTTACCTTCCCGCCGGAGCGGTACCTACTTATCTACTTGCACTTTGACATGGTTTCGAACTGCTAGGTTGGCAGGAGCAGGGACTGAGCAACGGGAACTCACCCTGTTGTGGGGATTCGAACCGCCGACCTTCTGATCGGCAAGTTCTAGGCTCTGTGGTTTAACCCACAGTGCCACCTGCGTCCCTACTAATGATTGTAGGTCTCCACAATTATTATTCTTTTTAATGGGAGAAGCCAAGGACTGTAGCTGGGAACTTCTGCATGCAAAACGGGTGTCCTACCACTGAGCCACCATCCATCCCTGAAATGGTGTAGGAGTTACAAGAGTACATGAGTTGTGTCTCTGAGCTTGTTCTATAGGATTGCATAATTTGCAAGCTAGCTGGTGTTCACCAGGGTTACCTGAACATTCCATCCGCTGCTTTGTGGTGCCAGTTGCAAAATGGCAGTTGTCTTGCTAGCTTGAAGTTCATGTTCTTCTCTAGCCAATAGAGAAGAGCAGGGGGCTGGTCCACTGTCCCTCAGACCTTGTGGGGGGCCGGACTATATTTGGGGGAGGGGAATGAATGAATTCCTATGCCTCACAAATAACCCAGAGATGCATTTTAAATAAAAGCATGCATTCTACTCGCTGATTCCAGGACACGCTGATTCCAGGACCGTCTGTGGGCCGGATTTAGAAGGCGATTGAGCTGGATCCAGCCCTGGGCCTCAGTTTGCCTACCCATGATCTAATGGGCGAATCAACTAATCCAGTGCCTCTTGATTAAGTCAAGAAGTATTTGGCACTGTTGCTCCTGAAGCACACAGACGTTTTCCTCCCCAGACAAGCTAAGAAAATCCCAGAAAAAAGAAGTGCCGGACTCATTCTCAATTTTCCACTTCCGTAGGTTAATGCACACAATAATGAGTATGATGACAGCATGCTAGATTACTTTTGAAGCAACTCTTTGATGCCACTTTCTAGGGAAATTATGGGTTTCTAACCCAGAAGATGCCTGCTGTAGTTTTCACAGGCGTTATTAGAAGCAAACTAACAAGCGTGGTGCTGGAATCTTTATGCTTCCCGAAAGGCTTTGGAAATCTCGCTGCTCTTGATAAAGTGGAACAGTTGCAAATTGGTCTGCAAGGGCCCCTGCCGTATCCTGGTTGGTAATAAATGTGCCTTGTGACCATATGCAATGCTTGAGCAAGTCTGACTGCGTGGGATACTTGTACCCCGTACCAACAGCTAGAATGACTTCTGTTGCACTGGGATACCCTGGTCATATGCTAGATGGTAAGAAAGATTTCCACACACTGCAATTTGTATGTGTGGTAGCACCTGTGGGAGGGGGATATGGATCTCCTATTCTAGGAATTAACACATGAACGTGCTTCATGAATGTTTGAATGTGTGTGCTGTGGGTGGAGGGCAGAGCATAAAGCAGTGGTTCCCAATTAATGGTCTGTAGACCTCAGGTGCGTCCACATAACACACCCAGGGGGGTCTGTGGCACCACTCACATAACAAAAAGTTTCATAGAGACAGCCAAATTTTCAAAAGTAGAAAAACAGGGAGTCTGCAGTGCTTAGCTAATGGGGAACCACTGGCATAAAGGACTTAAATGACTGGAACACATCACTTGTTTTCAACGTACTTTTTTGTTATTTTGTTCATGTGAATCCCTAGCCGGAATTAAGATTGCCGGAAGAAATATCAACAACCTCAGATATGCAGATGACACAACCTTGATGGCAGAAAGTGAGGAGGAATTAAAGAACCTTTTATTGAGGGTGAAAGAGGAAAGCACAAAATATGGTCTGAAGCTCAACATCAAAAAAAGGAAGATCATGGCCACTGGTCCCATCACCTCCTGGCAAATAGATGGGGAAGAAATGGAGGCAGTGAGAGATTTTACTTTCTTGGGCTCCATGATCACTGCAGATGGTGACAGCAGCCACAAAATTAAAAGACGCTTGCTTCTTGAGAGAAAAGCAATGACAAACCTAGACAGCATCTTAAAAAGCAGAGACATCACCTTGCCAACAAAGGTCCGTATAGTAAAAGCTATGGTTTTCCCAGTAGTGATGTATGGAAGTGAGAGCTGGACCATAAAGAAGGCTGATTGCCGAAGAATTGATGCTTTTGAATTATGGTGCTGGAGGAGACTCTTGAGAGTCCCATGGACTGCAAGAAGATCAAACGTATCCATTCTTAAGGAAATCAGCCCTGAGTGCTCACTGGAAGGACAGATCCTGAAGCTGAGGCTCCAATACTTTGGCCACCTCATGAGAAGAGAAGACTCCCTGGAAAAGACCCTGATGTTGGGAAAGATGGAGGGCACAAGGAGAAGGGGACGACAGAGGATGAGATGGTTGGACAGTGTTCTCAAAGCTACCAGCATGAGTTTGACCAAACTGCGGGAGGCAGTGGAAGACAGAAGTGCCTGGCATGCTCTGGTCCATGGGGTTACGAAGATTCGGACAGGACTAAACAACTAAACAACAACAAATGTTTATTTGTAAACCACTTTTAAGACTATTCCACAGTAAAACTTTGAAACTCATTTATTTCTATGCAACGTCCAGACCAGGGATTCCATTCAACAACTCTAACACCTATCACCATCACCACTACCAGCAGCAACAGCCCCCCAAAAGCAGACACTAGGGAAACAGAAATGAAAGCAGAAGGAAATGGAAGCATGAGTACACAGAAGAATATGTGATTATTTCATTTACTGTAGTTGCACATGCCCCATCCCCCACAGCTGAGTGTGTGCTTATATGAATCTCAGTGTTGACTGAGTGTGGCAGCTATGTATGATTCAGCCTAAGACTTGTGCGACTCACCACACTTAAATCAAGTGCCCTACCTTTACCAGACTTCCCAGAACAATATAAAGGTAGCTTGTCTTCCTAGAAATACAGCTATTGGAGAGACTATAGCAATGAATGGCTTTAAGAGACAATGTTCCAAGGACCTTGATCCACTGGTATTCTGAGCCAGTCCATCCTTAAGTGCATCATTCATTTACCTGCTGTTCTCTGTTCTCATAAGACATGATACATTGTGCAAGGCTATAAGACATTGCTACAGTAATTTTGACAAATATTACTGAAATAAATTCTCCAGAAGAAAACCTCCAGTTTAGAGAAATTATCATCTACTGTATTGCTTTATAATTTTTTTAAACTACTAGGATTGAAGTCCATACTTAAATAAGCCCTAAATCTATGGTGGGGGAGGGAGGACTGCTTCTTACTAGTTCTGGTCTGATGAAATTGATTTTAAAATGATAAAATAGCCACTTACAGAATCCATTGCTTATGAATGAATTGCTTCACTCCTGTATTGGGGAACTTTTTGAACATTGAGACAAAGCTAAGGAGCTTGTTCTCCAGAGGGCAGATTTCTATGGGTCAGAAGGCATAGTGAAGAGCCAGTACCTCTACCATCACTATTTCTGATAGAATTACACCAGCTGTGAAGCTTTAAACTACAATATTGTAATAGCTGGAGCTTTTCGTTGGCCACTGTGAGAACAAGATGGTGGAGCAGATGGGCCTTGGGTCCGATCCAGCAGGGATTTTCTTACTTTCTTATTCTGAGGCTGGGGCAAAGGCAGGAGGCAGAGCCTCTATATTTACATTAATGTACACTGAGAAGGTATTTTGAAAAAGCTTCCCCTGCTCTTCCATGCTAACAGGCGGGATTAAATAAAGCAGAATGTGTAGAGATAGATGTCGAACCGAAAGTGTAGTTGTCTCATGCACTCGTGTATAAATAATTAGTTTATAAATGCACAACGGGAACAGCAATAACCTGCTTGTAAATAAAGATGTCATTGTTAGCTAAAGCAGGGGTCAGAAAACTTTTTCAGCAGGGGGCCAGTCCACTGTCCTTCAGACCTTGTGGGGGGCTGGACTATATTTTTTGGGGGGAAATGAACGAATTCCTATGCCCCACAAATAACCCAGAGATGCATTTTAAATAAAAGGAAACATTCTACTCATGTAAAAACTCATTGATTCCCAGACTGTCCGCAGGCCAGATTTAGAAGGCGATTGGGCCAGATCCAGCCCCCGGGCCTTAGTTTGCCTACCCATGAGCTAGAGCAATGCACTATATTCTATGTAGAGTTTGTAATGTGGAAGCAGAACTTCATCAGCTCTTTCGAGTTGCATTTTTCCTCTGATACATCCTTCCTCTGTTTTAGCAATTTTGCCTCCAAAAAAACCTCAGTCTATGGCTCCATTGTCTGCAAATGTCACCTAGTCAGACATTAAAACTGCTTTATTAGCTTGACTTTCAGAAAACAAAAATGACACATTCGGAATTTCTTTTCCATTAAAAATAAACCACAAATGTTTCTGCTCAGACCTAAGCCCCAATAAGTTCTATGGAACTTATTCCCAGGTCAATATGTAAAAAGGATTCCAGCCTTAGTGTATTGATTTTGATGCTAAGATTTTTACAGACATAAAATAACCACACCGTTAAGAATTTTAAAAATTGTCATAACAAACACTTGTCCAAAGCAGAATGCTGAGATATTGGATTAAAGTCTTTTTCATAAGGATTCTTCTGCATTGTGTTTCCAGCTGACAGCAAACCTGACCTACAATGATGTGTTGATCTGGAAGCATAACTGCAAACAGATTCCCCAAGGAGACGAGGAGGCACTTTTGTTTGATAGAGGAGAAAAAGCTCAAGCTGACATTGTCGGCATTTCACTTTGTTATTTCAGAATGCGATAAGCTCATTCATGGAAGGAGACACAAATCACTGGAACTTTTTCTTCTTCTTTTTACTTCTCATATTAGCTTTAACAAAGTTTGCCAGGGGAAAGAAAAAAGAAATGTCAAAGGAGAGGAAAGACTTGTCATGATGCACATACTGCAGCAGAAAATAGTCCTGTGTCAATGGTCCATCGCTTGGGTCCTCTTTTTGCTCCATTCACAGAAGGAGCTTCCATTTACAGAAGAGACATGGCTCTCATGGAAGGATGAGTGGAAACATAAGGTCCAAGCCAACATGTCTAGCACTTCCAGTTAAGAACAGAAGAAGAGCCTGCTGAAACAGGTCAATGGTCCTTCTAGTCAGGATCCTGTTCTCACAGTGGACAACCAGATGCCTGTGGGAAACCTGTAAGCAGAACCCAAGGAGAAGAGCACTCTCTCCTCTGGTGGCTTCCATCAACTGTATGCAGAAGCAGTACTGCTTCCAACAACAACAACACGATAAAACATCAAACATTAAAAACTTCCCTAAACAGGGCTGCCTTCAGATGTCTTCTAAAAGTCAGGTAGTTATTTATTTCCTTGACATGTGGTGGGAGGGCGTTCCACAGGGCCAGTACCACTATCGAGAAGGCCCTCTGCCTGGTTCCCTGTAGCTTTGCTTCTCGCAGTGAGGGAACTGCCAGAAGGCCCTCAGCACTGGACCTCAGCATCCGGGCTGAACGATGGGGGTGGAGACGCTCCTTCAAGTATCCTGGGCCAAGGCCGTTTAGGGCTTTAAAGATGAGCAGCAACATTTTGAATTGTGCTTGGAAATGTACTGAGAGCCAATGAAGGTCTTTCAGGACTGGTGTTACATGGTCTCAGCGGCCACTCTCAGTCAAAGCATTGCCATCATGGCTAGTAGGCATTGAAGTCTTATTGTCCATGAATTCCTCCAGTCCTCTTTTATAGCCATCCAGGTGGGTGGCCATCACTGCCTCGTGTGGGAGCAGGTCCTATTGTTCAGCTGTGCACTGTATGAAGTCCTTTCTTTTGTCTGTCCTGAATCTTCCAACATTCAGCCTCATTGGATGTCCATGAATTCTAGCGTTAGGAGAGAGGGACAAAGGCTTTTCTTTCTCTACTTTATCCATGCCACACATGATTTTATAAACTTATTTCATGCCACCTCTTACTCGGCTTTTTTCTAAACTAAAAAGTGAGTCACTCCAGCCCCTCGATCATTTTGGTTACACTTTGCTGGACCTTTTCCAACTCACAATACCCTAAGGTGAGGCAACCAGAACTGGACACTGTAACCACAGAGGGTAAAAGTCCTTAGAATAGTGGCTCCCAATTAGCGAAGTTCTGCAGACCCCTTATTTTTCAAAAGCCAAGCCTAGGAAAAGAGGAAAGTTTTTGCCTGGTGCCTGAAGATATGTAATGAAGGCGCCAGGTGAGCCTCCCTGGAAAGAGGATTCCACAAATGGGGGGGCCACCACAGAAATGGCCCATTCATGATTTGTCTGAACTTCTTGTGGAGGATGCACACAGAGAAGGGCCTCAGGTGATGATTGCAGTGTCCTGGCTGCTGAATTCTGCACCAGCTGTAGTTTCCAAACTGTCTTCAGAGGTAGCCCCTACATCACAGTAATCTAACTTAGAGGCTGCCAGCCTGCCATGCATATTCCCAATTATTATTAGCTGTGGACATGCAAACACTCATGTACACATGAGTTCATGTGTGCACATATATGCAGATCTGCATGTTACAGGACCATTTTTACCAAATAAACAGTGGCTCATATTTCTATATTTGATTTCTCCAGAATCTTTTTCATTGCTATTTTTTACCCCAGAAGACACCAGCACTCCACTCCAGCTTCTATATTGCATTTTGCCATTAAGCACTTGGATTGTTCAACCATTTAATGCAATATCTCAGTTATAGGGGGACTAAGTTTAGGGCAACCAGAGTCTGAAGTCAAATGAGAGATGCAGTGGACCCTAATTTGAAACAAATAGACTGAGTTCAGTCAAGCAGAGATGAGGGATTTAGAAAGTGAACCGAAAGAAAATAGAACAGCTTCTCTTTCTATCAACATCACCTTGAAGTCTTGAGTTGAGACCCTGTGTGACAATCTTAAGAGCAGGCAAAATGCAAAAGATGATTGTTCCAGATTCCATAATGATATTTCCCTAATAATAATAATAATAATAATAATAATAATTTATTTATTTATACCTTGCCTATCTGGCTGGGTTTCCCCAGCCACTCTGGGAGGCTTCCAACTGAATATTATAAACAATACAGTGTCAGACATTAAAAACTTCCCTAAACAGGGCCACCCTCAGTTGTCTTTTAAAAGTAAAATAGTTGTTTATTGCCTTGACATCTGCTGGGAGGGGATTCCACAGGGCAGACGCCACTACTGAGAAGGCCCTCTGCCTGGTTCCCTGTAACCTCACTTCTCGCAGCGAAGGAACCACCAGAAGGCCCTTGGCGCTGGACCTCAGTGTCCGGGCTGAACGATGGGGGTGGAGATGCTCCTTCAGAAGCCATAAAGGAAAATGCTTAGAAACAATGTGCATAGCATCACATGTCGCTTTGTCATACCTCTTCTAGATCTCATGTAATGATTTAGTAGTAACAGAAGGACTTTAAATTGACACAGAACAGTGCATAAGAACATAAGAAGAGCCTGCTGGATCAGGTCCAGAATCCTGTTCCCTTAGTGGCCAACCAGCTGCATGTGGGGAAACTGGCAATGGTCAAACTTCAATGGGGAGCCTACAGGCGCCTCATTTCAGACCAATGTGTGGATAGCAGTGGGTGGGGCCAGCCGGGGCACCACACTGAGGTGGGGCCAGCGGATGGAGTCATTTTCTTCCTCTCACATGATGATTATCGCACAAAATGACATAGGGCTTTCCTGGAGCTCATCCCATGGTGGCTGGTCCATTAGGGCTAATGAGGCACTGCCCTTCCAAGCTCAATCTACCCTCAACTGGGCCTCGACTGCCTACCTTCTTTCTTACAGCCAGTCTCGGGGATGGCAGCACTGCCTCTCAGCTTCTTCCTACTTAGCCTCAGTATTGCCTCCTGTAGAACTTAGCAGGGAGGAGGAGAATGTTGACAAAATGAGAATAAGTTTGCTTTGCCTACAATTGCCTTTAGCTCTGTCTTCTGTTGTGCTCCCTTCCTTCTGCCCTACCAGCCCAACTGGCCACCAGGCACCACCGGTTCGGTCAAACCCAATGAGTAAACCTGCATAGATTGTAAATTACCACTACTACAACAGCTATGAAGAAAGATGTTACACTTCCTGCCCCGTGCCCCCAAGCTAGCTTGCTGTCTTCAGGAACGATGGAGAATACAGTCCGATCAACAATATTGAAGTAAGATATAACTGCCAGTCCCACTGGCTTCTGTCTTTTGAATGGGGCCTGTGGGCACCATCTTGTCTTTGGCCTAAAGCCACAAGGGCTAACCTTGGTAAGTTTCTTGTAGAAGCCTCTGGCTTGCCATCATGAAGGCATAATGCTGGTCTAGAGAAAACTGGTTTGCTCTAGAACAGTGGTTCCTTTACGTTCTTCAGTTCCCAGCTGGGCCTTGGAAATGCACTTCCCAGGCTGACCAATGAACAGAAAATGTTTGAAAGCAATGCACATTTCCTCCTCACATATTACATGACATGTTGTAGAACTGTTCACTCTTGAGTTAAAAAATAATAATCATTTCTACAATGTGCTAATTTTAACTGAAACATTGCAGCAGAAGGATTTTAGAAGGAAACAAAATGGTGGAGGGGTGTAAACTGTGGGGGAAACCAATACGAAGGCCACAACCACATCATAAATTTAAAGCACTGTCAACTGATATGACTTTCCTCAAAGAATTCTGGGTGCTGTAGTTTGTTAAGGGTGCTGAGGGTTGTTACGAGATCCCCTACTCCCTTCACTGAACTATGATTCCCAGAGTTTCCTGTAAGGAGGAATACATTTTCAAGCCACTGTGTGAATTGTATCTCTCTGTGTTGATCAGGAGTCTCCCAACAACTCTCAGCCCCCTTAACAAACTACAGATTCCAAAATTCTTTGGGGAAGCCATGACAGTATCACGGGGCTTTAAATGTAGGTACCCACAATGCAGGCTTCCTGCTTCAGACGTCTACCCTCCCACATGTAGATTGGGTCAGACCAGGGACAGTGAGTGCTCATACTGAAATGTCTCAGTGTAGTTTCCTATTTCTCCAAGAGAGAAGAATGAAGATTTCAGCACTGGAGCCGACACTTACATGCACAACATTCATGGGCTCCTATAGGGCATTTAAATTTGGCATGAGCCTTCCAAGAATTAATTATTCCGAATGGAAACCATGTTCTTCTCATTTCCTCATTAGTAAGTCTTCATCCAGCTTCAGATTTCCTTAGGGTTCAATGCTAATCATGCTGCACTCCATTTAGTGCAATAAAAGAATTCCTAATTCTCTGTCAGTGGAGCTTTTGTTCTCTGGCAAATTAATGATGTACTAATGTGGATGGGTGGGAGATCGTTTCAGAGTAGGTCCATGACTACCAGTTTGTGTGTGATAAGCAAAGTCTAATTTAGACAGACATCCAAATTATACTTGCAAACTCTCCTCTTCAGTTTGCTGAGGGGGGCACCGGACTTTTGCCTTAAAGTTCTGCCCTGATGTTCTGCTCCTGTGAATAACATTTCCAAGAATCCTGTACATTCAGTGCACGGCTGTTTATACAAAAGAGACTGGAGGGTTCCTCCCCCAGTTAAGTGACTACTTAATTAACCTGCTACCATTAATCAGTGGATTCAAAACCTCACTCTATAGTTTAGAGTTCCATGGGAAAGAGAACAGTCTTCTGGTAATAAATTTCTACTATCCAGTGTAGAGGATTTATTGATTTTTTTTTTTTAATATGTGAGTTCAATTTAGAAGGGACACACATAACAAAGATGAAGGCCATGTTGTTCTTAAGGGAAGTTTATTGTGTCTATATAAATTGAGTTTTACACGCTAAGGGGATGTGGTCATATACGGATGCCCAATCCCAAGAAAGTCAGGCTTAAGTTTTATTGAAATCAATGGGGCAAGGGAAGTCATGGCTTCAACTTTAGTCAATCTTCTCTGGATCAGGAACTGAGAGTTCTGCAGTTCTTGCAATACTCTGCAAACAATCTTATTAAAAGAAAACAACTGCCAGCAGGAAATTAAATAAAATCCCACATACCATACCATGCTTCAGTGGGAACTGCAGCAACTATAGAGTCAAGGTCTCTCTAAAATTGAGTGAGGTTGATGACAGCTGGT